TGCCCCTGACACGTGGTCCGTGGCCATTTTCCGCCCCTGACACGTGGTCCGCAGCCATTTTTCTGCCCCTGACACGTGGTCCGTGGCCATTTTCCGCCCCTGACACATGGTCCGCGGCCACTTTTCTGCCCCTGACACGTGGTCCGCGGCCATTTTTCCGCCCCTAACACGTGGTCCGTGGCCATTTTTCCACCCCTGACATGTGGTCCGTGGCCATTTTTCCGCCCCTAACACGTGGTCCGTGGCCATTTTTCCACCCCTGACATGTGGTCCGTGGCCATTTTTCCGCCCCTGACTCTCCCTCCAAGCAATAGTCGCCTCCCTGTCCCCCACACCAGAACGGATTAACGGTAATTACATTGAACCTTATGGGAAAATTTGCCTTGTGTTGCGACCAATTCGAGTTGCAACCAGAGTCACGGAACGGATTAAATTCGTAACTCGAGGTTCCACTGTATTATAATATTATTTGGTATTGTAAATCAGTGACTATTAATAAGTTTAATATATAAAGTAGGCTTTTATTTATTTATTTTAGTTTGGTTTTTTCCCCCTCCTTCTCTTTTCCTTTTCTGGTTTCTATCATTTCTTTAAGTTTAAAGATTGTTCCATTTAATTAAGAGGGGGTTTTTTTTAGTGTATCTTGGTGTTTTGTCTATAATTTGTATTTTTCTAAAATTAAATATTTTTTTAAAAATCCATCTGGTCTTGGAGGTTTAAACTCAAAGTAAATAGGCACTCCTTGACCATGTCTCTCTCAATCTCAAGCTTCAGTCCTTTCCTTGCAAATGTTGTAGCTAGTATATTATTCAGATGAACAGCTAGTTGATTTGTTTCCTTTATTCTGAATATATTGAAAGAAGCCTTTTTTGTTATTCTTAGTATCCTTCTCGATCCACATCATGCTTTTCTTTCAGCGAGTTCTTTTCCTTAACTGATCTATATAAGCAATAATGTACAGTATCATTACTTTCTTTTATCCCTTTACTAGATCAAAGCTGCCTGCTCAGGTTCAAAATTTAACCAATTGTGTTAAGAGGGATGTATCTCTAGGATTCTGTATGATTCAAGAACGACAAAAGCCAATGCTGATGAAAGAATTACCAGATGCACACCATCCAAAGGTTTTAAAGGTTGGGAGTGAAGTTTTGTCAAAGAAAATTCTCTAATTTCTCCAAGTTCTGTTGTACAACTGTATATAAAATTTACTACCTATTTTTATCATGAAAAATAATAAAGAAAATAAACTATAGAACCATATAAAAATCCAAAGCAGCAGTAATGATTCAGCCAAAATTTGGATTGAATAAATCTTCAGATGATACTGAAAGTTTACAGTATCATCTGAAGATTCATTCATTTATTTCAAGTATTCATATGGCCACCCATATAAATTACAGCCTAAGTACCAACTGCAACTGATAGGGGTAGAATTGCACAGTTGGGGCCCATGTATTCAGAATGCTCTCTGCAGCATTGGCCCATAATGAATAGCAAATTAGCAACACTGAGGCAGTATCTCCATTAGATGATCATGGGAGAGTAACTAGAGATAATGCAATATAATGGCTATTCCATTTCTAAGCACTGATTTTAGATGAGATGGGAAGCATCCTTCACTGCTTGTACCACTGGGTACAGCTTTTTCTTTCAGAGGATGAAGGTGATGGGTTTAATAAATAAATATATCTGATATGAAATGTTCCTTTTTTATAATGAAAACTCTGATTTATAGAAATAAAGAATAGTAGTCTGTTCATAAACTAGGATTCCAGTATTACTGATGTAATTTACTGATCCTAAATGCATTTTGAAATTAATTACTGTTCATTTATTTCAAGCATTCATATGGCCACCCATATAAATGCCTTAAATACTGTGGGTAGCGTATAACAGAGATGAACATTAAACAAAACAAAGCAATAACAAAACAACCCACAACTATATATATAATTAAAAGATATATAGATATACATCCATGATACTTAATTAGAACCAAATGGTTTAAGAGTGTTACAGACCCCTCTTTTTCTTTAGCTAAAAAGACATCTCAGTAATTTCCATAAATGGATAGATTACTGTCTTACAATGCTGTCATGTGCAAGTACCATCAGCTTTAATGAGATATATTAAGTCCATTCAGGATTGTAGCATTAATCAGGTAAGTGTAATGTTGATTGAATTATAACTGTATCTATAGTCAGTTTATAGAACAATAAGAAGTGAAATTAAGCATATAAATTAGTATATATTGTCCCAATTTCTAAACAGTATTTCAGTGAAGACTCCATTAATAAAATACTTGCTCAAACATAGAAAAGGAAGGGAATTCTTCAGACATGGTATAACTGTTATAGAGTGAATGTCCTTCCCACCTTATAACATCAGTTAATTTGCAATCATAAAAAAAAACCAAACCGTATCCATTTCTGTTGTCTTGTTAGTTTCCAAATTATTGGAATATAATTCCAAAGAGCATGAGAATCTACATGGTTTTTTTTAAAAAAAATGAAGTGTACTTTAAAGCAAGGTGCACAGAAAGTGGATGGTACAATAAAAAATGCCGCAATGAAAATTTAGAAGAGAATAGGATCAAATTTCTGGTAATGATTCATTGATTTTGAAGCATGTCTCTAAAAATGTCTTAAGATCTTTGATGGGAATTAAGAGGTAAAGTGAAATCTGAATTTTTGGTAATGTAAATCGTAATAATAGTTGTTGTTCATATTATATCCTGCCTAAAGGAGGAGTGAATTCATGGTCGTTATAAGAAAAACAATCCTGAATTCTTTCCCCTCTTAATAAACCTCTATCTTGTGTTCCTGGAATCATCAGTTCTAAAAAAAATTATATTTTATTTGTACTTCCAGAAGGGGAAAAATATTGCCTATTTGACAGATTCAAATAGACAGCAAAACAAGAATGGCTGTCCTTTGCATGCCGAGTTAAATTTTGTCCCTGAAGCTTACCACTTTGGCAATAACCCAGGAACTTACTTGCTGTTTACAGTTTCCCAAATGTCAACAGACAGGTAATGGGATTAATTTTTATTTTGTTCTAAATAGAAATTAGTATTTGAAATATAAGCCTCAGGTGAAGTCCAAGCTTTTGATCCATTGGAATATATACATTTATGTATACATGATTGAATGTGTATGATCTCGTCTCTCTCTCTCTCTCTCTCTCTCTCTCTCTCTCTCTCACACACACACACACACACACACACACACACACACACACACACACAC